GCACCGGCCTGAGGACACAGCAGCCCGTCATGTCCACCATCCCCTACGGTACAGGATGGGGGTTTGGGGGGCTCTGGGGATGGAGATGATCCCCCCATTTCCCGGTGTTACAGCCAGTGTTGGTGTGTTCGTTTCAGGGCCATTCCCTTGCAAAGCCATCAGCAAAATCCTCTGGCGAACCTGCGAGTCAGGGTAGGTGGGTGGGCTGGGCATGGGGGGCACAGGGGGCACTTGGGGGTCCAGGGTCTGATGGCAGCTGCTTCGTCCCACCCAGGAACCCCTTCATCATCTTCAGTGGGGGGATGCCACGGGCCAGCTACGGTGACAGGCACTGTGTCAGCGTGCTGCAGGGCCAGACCCTGGCCACGCTCGACTTCACCTCCCGCGTCATTGACTTCTTCACTGTGCAGAGCGCAGAGGTGCCCGAGGGAGGTACGTCCTGCCAGGGCCACCCGGGCAGCGGGCGCTGCTGTGGGGGTCTCCACGTGCAGCAGCCATCTATCTCCCCCCTCCCCAGGCTTTGAGAACCCCCGAGCCCTGGTGGTGCTGGTGGAGGAGGAGCTGGTGGCCATCGACCTGCAGACGCCGGGCTGGCCCACCATCCCTGCCCCGTACCTGGCACCTCTGCACTCCTCTGCCATCACCTGCTCCTGCCATGTCTCCAACGTGCCCCTCAAGCTCTGGGAGAGGATCGTCAGCGTGGGGGAGCAGCAGAGCCCCCGGCAATCCTCTGCGGTCAGTGATGGGGGTGCTGGGGAGGGTCCTGCTGAGCCCTTCCAGCATTCCAGGCTTCATCCCTTCCTTCATCCCCTCTCCATCCCTCCTCCAGGCTTGGCCCATTGATGGGGGGAAGAACCTGGCCCAGGAGCCCACACAGAGGGGGCTTCTCCTCACTGGGTGAGTGGGCTGGCAGCAGGGAGGGGGCCTGGAAAACCTAAAATGAGGGGAGGACACATCCACACCCATTTCTGCAGTGGGGGAATGGGGTGGGATGTGATGGTGGTGGCATCCACTCCCTCATTTCGGGGGAGCTGCCCCTTCTTGTTCTGCCTGGGCACGAGTGTGTCACCCGCTGCGCTGTCCCCCGTGTCCCCCCCTCTGGCACGGTGGCTGCCAGCACACAGGCAGCCCTTGTTAGCTGGGCAGATGTTGGGGCCCACGCTGACAGGACCCCCCCTCGCAGGCACGAGGACGGCACGGTGCGGTTCTGGGACGCCTCGGGGGTCTCCCTGAAGCCCCTCTACAAGCTGGGCACCGCCAACATCTTCCAGACAGACTGTGAGCACAACGACAGCCTCAACCAGGCGGGCGAGGAGGAGTGGCCTCCGTTCCGCAAGGTGAGGTGCCCTGGGCAGGGTGACACTGCCATGGACACAGCACCCTGCCGGCTCTGCCAGCACTGGAGGGGGCAAACCCAGAGCTGGGCACGGGGGATGCACCTGCTGGAGCCATCCCGGCTGTGCCCCGGGGACGTGTCCCCCGGCTCAGGGCACAGCTGCGGTGTGACGCACTGTGGGGACACAAGGGACACTTGTTCCGTGGGCTCCGTCCATGGGTCTGCCCCAGCATGGGGGACAGGGCCGGGGGGTGCGTGGGGACAGACTTCTCCTGGGCGTGATGCCCGGAGTGGCCCATGTGCCACAGCTGGTGGAGGGACGTGGGGGTGCAGGGGGGCTGTGCCACAGCTGTGTGCGGGCTCCTGGCTGTCCCTTGAGCTGTCCCCTCCCGCAGGTGGGCTGCTTTGATCCCTACAGCGATGACCCGCGCCTGGGCGTGCAGAAGATCGCGCTCTGCAAGTACACGGCCAAGATGGTGGTGGCTGGCACGGCGGGGCAGGTAAGGTGACAAGGACAGAGCAGGGGCTTCCCCATTGGGGACCCACAGCATGGGGGGGCTACAGACCCCCAGATTGTCCTTGAAGGGCTCCTAGCCTGGGTTTAGCCCCCGGTGTGCAGCAGGGTGGCTGTCTGGGGGAGGTCCAGCATGTCCCCCTGTCTGTGTTTGTCCCTGCAGGTGCTGGTGATGGAGCTGAGCGA